ATCTGAGTGCTCATGACTGACAGCTCTGTGGGCACGGGAGAGAGACTTGTTTTGCTATTTAGAATAAAAGAACTGTATATCAATATCCGATCTTGTGAAACCAGTTAGTCTCATGCAGATTTAGAGCTTTTTTTTTGTGCCCAAGCCAAGAATGCAGCTCCAATATTTTGGTCTTCCAAAACACCAAAGTGATTTTTTTTAATGAGTCAGTTTGTAGGCAGGCATATAAATATCTGCACAGTGAATTCATGCCTTTTTGAGTTATTATGTGGGCCTGCAACTAATTTATCATTCTCTCTTTCATGCTGAAAACTGAATAGCCCAGTAACTGGCACCAGGTTGAAAAGCAGTGATCTGTTTCTGTCTGTAGTTGAAAGTTTCAGGCCTTTTTCACCTCCACTGGGGTTTTTCAGAAATGTGCTCTGTTGCACCTTTAACCCAACAGTGATGTCACAGTGTCCTGAAGTACACCCGTACACCACTGCAGCCAGCTGAGAGGTTCAAACTACTCTGACTACCATCTTTTAATTTAAAAGCAGCTTGTAGGTGCTGAAGGAAAATGCAATTGTCAGCTTAATCACATCACACTACTAAGTGACACCGACATCACAAAGCAGTCAGGTTGGTTAACATCAGTGTTCCATGTGCAATTCACTGTCTTCCTTTACAGGATTTTCCTGTATTGAAATTTGAATTGAAGTGGCTCCACCACTGCTATACAGCTACATGATTTAAATCATTAGCTACATTTTTCAGTTTATGCCATGATAAAGGCAAAAGCAAAATAACATAAACCAGGCAATGGACTGAGCAACGTCCACACTGTTTTGCATTGACACCAAACCCATATGTGTTCTTTATAATATTTAGAGCATTTTAGGGGAAGGACATCCAGCAGAGGTCACCAGGGGATGTTCCAGCTCACGCCTGCAATCAAAATCATATGTTCACTTTGACAACAAACATTTGTAGAATAATTAACACCATAAGAGCACATCATCACATCACGATTGCACTGGGAGAAAAAGACGTGTCCCAGATCAATGCAGTCAACACACTCAGACATGTTTGATGGCTCAAAATGCTTTTACACTGTCAGAAAAATACTTTAGCCTGCATGTGGTCTTTTATTCCTGATGAAACCTAAAACACAAGTGGAGTGCTTTACTATTTTGAATAAAAGAATAAAGAGTTATCTTAGACACATTTGAAGGAGGATGTTAATATGTGCATGTTAGTTAATGAAACATTAGGTCGTATTATTTGAAAAAAACGGATGAAGCTGTAACACATGAAGGAGCAGTTTAGTCTCAGAAAGTGACTCTTCACAAACAACCCCACCCCTCTCTCCCTCTGTCTCTAACGCAGACGTACGAGGACCAGCACAGCAGCGAGGAGGAGGAGGAAGAGGAGGAGGAGAGCGAGGATGGAGAGGAGGAAGATGACATCACAAGCGCTGAGTCAGAGAGCAGCGAAGACGAGGAGGGCGGGGAGCCAGAGGACCAGCAGGGGGCCAGCAGACAGCAGCAGCTGGAGTGGGACGACTCCACCCTCACCTACTAGAGCAACACACACACACACACACACACACACACAACACTCAACACAAGCTCACAGACACACACATCACCAACTCACACTCACCGCTCCGCACACACTCCCACCCCCCTACAGTTTCATGTCCAAGGAGCCATGATGTAAAGAAAATAATACAAAAAACGAAAACAAAAATTCCCTTCAGCATATATATGGTCAAGGTTTTCCTGTTGTTATCTTAGTGGTGGTACTCAGTGTAGTGTAGTCATCACCGGATTGCTGATTTTTACTGTTTATTTTTTTATTTATTATATTTTAATTCCCAGGAAAACTTGGCCTACATTTTGTTTTGAACTGTGTGAGGAAGCCAACCCTGCACTTTTTGTTTTCTCTCAGACGTAAAGGCTTTCAAATGGAGAATTTTTCCCCTAATGTATATTCTTTGCGTAATGCTTTTAGATTTGTTTGCCGCTAAACTCACGTATAGCTTTGACTTGAGTTCTCTTGACTTGTAGTCCAGTGAAACAAAATTATGCTTTTAACAAGTAGACCGCTTTTTCTTTTTTTCTTTTTTCCTTCTTTTAGTGCATGAGGATATTTGAGAAGTCATATGTGTAGAGAAATAAATTGCTTTTTAAAGATTTTGTAAATATAAAGAAACCATGTAATTAGTCAATGTGTTAGTGAAGGCCTACTCAATGGGGTCCAATATCTAAAATGACGCAGTACGTAATGTAGAATATTTGTGTCACAGAGGCTGTAGCATGTCGCTAAATTTCTGCAAAAGCTGTTCCATCATGCTTGTACAAAAATGTCTGCTTCACGATGAGAAACCCAGGACTGTTAAGCGGAGGTTTCCATGACAAAGTGGTGTCCATTTTGTCTTTTCTTTTTTTTTTTGCAAAGAGGAAAATGAGTTCTTTTGCTTTCTCGTAGACAGGACTGGTCGATGGTTTCAGCTTCATACATGCTTTGCTTTGCTTGCACAGGTGGCAATGCTCTACTCCAGGTGTCGGTGTATTTCATTCCCAATAGATCTCATTGTTGTACAGAAGGGATTTTCTTTTTGTTCAGGGTAATCATACTCAGAGAAATGCTAATGTACAAATCGACATTTTGTGTGGAACAGTACAAACACCAGGCCAGCAGGTACTGTAGTGCTGTCGATCTGGAAATATGGGTACTAACATTTCTGCCAGTGTATTTGGACAAGTCGAGAGATTTCCTCAGCAGCTTTAAAAAGCCTTTCGTCCGTATCCCAGTCCTGCTGTGCTGACAGAAGTAGGAAGGAAAAAACCCTTCAGACTACTGAAAGAGCAGATTTATGACAGACGGAGCTTTAGTGGAGCCCGAATAGTACAGTTGCTGGCATTGTTTTGGGGGAGAGAAGTGAAATGAAAGTACTTTCAGGATTGCTTTGTTGCAAGTTTATTTACAGTGGCACGGCTATTTAACCTGAAATAATAAAACCTATATTAGATGCATTTTTAAACTGGTTTCCTGTTGCAAAATAAGCACCGTCTTTATCGTACTTTAAGGAATTACAACAGAGGGTAAGACTGCATAGTTTACAAAAGGAAAACACTTTATAAATGAATCTTGTTTGAATCTTAAAATGAAATATTTTTTTGCAGTAGACCACTAGATTTTATTGTACATGGAACTGTACTGTAGAGTTGTTCTAAGATATTTGTTTACATTTGGTAAACTTATTTTCCATCTGGTATTAGTATAAAGCTTATACAATTGATTGGGAAAATGTGTCCAACCTCTATCTCCTCTCAGACACTGTTGTCCATCACTGTTGTATATATCTTTCACAAAAACCAGACACAAATGTACCTTCACACGCAACTATTTAGTGTTTGTCTCATGTTTTTGGGTACCAAGTAAAATGTTAACGTTTCCCAAACCTGCATTAATTACAGCAAATCAGATTTGGGGGCAGTAAAGTGAACAGAGTGTTCCAGGATTAGAAATGTTGTGAGTCTCATATTTTGCATGCAAGTCTACTTTCAGAGGCCAAAATTGAATTTAAAAACACATTCAAGGCTCTTTCTGGAGACAGTTTCTTTTGAGGGTTTGAGTTGCACAGTTGTCTCTTAGGTTCAATTAATTTATAATTTTTTAAGGGGTGTGTGGTGGAAATGTAGTGAACAGTCTCCCCTCCATGATGACTTGGACTTGTAAAAAAGGGGGCCAGGTCTGAGCCGGCTGAGATGGGAGTGCCTTTTTCCGATCATAGCGCAATTTAGCAGGTCTAACAAAAAAAAAAAAACACTCATCCGTGCTCTTTTATTTGTGGCAATTTTGTTGTTTTTTATTTGTATTTGTTTAAAGCTAGATTTCTTACAGGGCTGGGGATTACGTTTTCTTTCAGTTTGTCGTAACAATAGTCCACCGCTAGTTTTATTAAAAGTGAAAAACGTTTTACATAGATGTCATGTGTCCATGTTGATGTGTAGAGGAAGTAGATCCATATTGTATCTTCTATAGATATTGTACTAAATCATTGACGGAATCCACCTTTAAAAATATGTACAGTACATTATGAAATTGCTTTGGCAGCATACATGGGTATACTGTTAACTCACCTATTTGTGTATAGTGGAAGGTAATTTTGAACAGTGTCCTATTGCCTGAGTTGTTGAGAAATGATTTTGAGGGCAGCATGAAATTCACCAGTTATAAGCCTGTCAACTCCCAAATTCTCAGTTTCATTATGTCAAACACTCGATGTCCACATTTCATCTACAGTTTCAAAGTACAATACCATGGGTCACTGATATGTGCACACTGACTCCAAAGTCAAGTCTCCACAGTGACTTCACCATCTCCAGTTTTCTGGGTTTAATGCTTTCTGATCAGCCCCTGAGCTAAGTGTAAGTTGGTTGAATTGAATGTCACTGCCTAACAAACTGAAATGCAGCCATACTGTCATAACACTAAGATGTAAGGGGAATTTACTTTGCATGAACCACAAGTTTGTGTACGTTCCATGTGGGGTTGTGAGACTGGAGTGAAGGAGACGTGATACACTACTGATTCTCAGATTGTCTGTTTCACACGTCCAGATATATTTTTTTTGTTTATTTTTTTTTCTTTTAAAAATTTGCTCAAAATGGAAGTTGGTTGTTTTCAGATCGATTGAATGCTTCCTTTGTGCTTGTTGGAGCTGCTCTCACTTTTCTACCAATTGAAAGGCAAATTGTAGTGAAGTTGATGCTTGCTCGTAAACAAAATAAAGGATGATCAGATGGGGTATAACTTCTGTCTGCTCTTGTTTTTCTTCAGTAATCACTCACACTGTCAGTGTATCACTGGGGTAGACACAGTGCTGGTGGTACACGCCCTGAGTAGTGCTGCTGAAAGTTTAAATCTTGAGCATTAGTGTCCTCTGGTGGTGAAAATAAAAAATGATCTAAGACCCAAAGGGTGCAACATCATTTAACAGGTAAAACATGAATAATTAAAACAATGATCATTGATTTATTTACAGAGAAACAAACACTCAAAGCTGAATATCAATTATGATCAATGGTGTAAACATTGTGACATTAAATTCTACATCTTCTCAACTAAACATGAAAATGAAATACTAAGGCAATATTGAACTCAGTTACTGCAAATTTATAATAACAGCTGTCTGCTAAAGCAGTTAGTTTGAAATGCTTGATAATCAATAAATAAAGAGTGTGGACAAAATAATAGAAACAACATAAATATCCAGAACCAGACAAAGTATAGTCCTCAATGTGTATTTAAAATGCTGAATGTACTCTATCCTTCAAACAGCCATCGATTACATTCTTTAAAACAGCTCAATCACTCTTACGTCTGGCATTTGAAGAGATTGGAAAGTGTTTTTATTTCATCCTGTTCATTTATTTTTTTTATCGTTCAGCCGAGCGAGGACATGAACAACAGTGCAGAATGCATCTGGCACTGTAAAATGACCTCATGTTCCTTGGTTGTTAAACGTCCAAACAGACTATTAATCAAACTGACTCACTCTCATGAGATGGCTGCTGAAACCATCTCAAGACCCTCCGCAACGTTTAGCAGATGGCATCTAATCCATTCAGAAGATTTCTAGTCACATTGCAAGCAAACTGGTCAACGACTCCGTCCAGATTGGTGCTTTTCAACTCGTCATGCATCTTAATACTGGAGTTGCACAGGATGAATTCACTTTCAAAATGGCAGTCCTCTTACAAACACTGACTTTAAGAGGCCAATAAAAAGCATATGTTTTATTAAGACAAAGATTAAAATCTGAAATAGGAAATTTGATGTACATTGCTTTGAAAATACACTAAAAGAGGTGATTGTCTGATATGTTTGAACTGACACCCTGATGCACATTGTCAAGTCATACTGTATGTGTACTGCATACAAATTGACCTACTAGTGTTAGGGCCTCTGTAGTGTAATTTAGTTATTTCAAAGTTCTCTTTCTGGCAGTACTTCTGTTATTTTGTCCAAATCCCTGTACACAGCACAGTTTAGTTAAAATAAAATTACATTTGGCAGCATCATTTGAAGCACTCATACAGGAAATCAAGATCCTAAAAACAGACAGCAACCCAATGAGAAACGAATCACAGCAGACTATTTCTCTTGAACTGCCTCGACTATCCTTCACATTCATGTACATCTTCATATTCAACAAATCCCACGCTCGTACCAATAATACACTATTACACCTATCTGGACAAATAAAAGACATTTACAAAAGTCGCAGGATATAAAACAATACTGTTAAAAAGTGTTAGCATCTACAGTAACACCTAGAAGTGCACTGATTATTTACAAAATCAATGATCAATTGGTACATTGTTTTCTTGGTAGACAGAGTTAAAATGAACATTTCGTAGAATTACTATGTCTTGGTTTTCACACCAGAACTAGCTAAAGCCATAATTTTGTCTTCAGATCCTGAAAGACAAGGCAAAACAAGATAAATATTAATGTGTATCCAATACATTTTGTTGGTAAACATTTCAATGAAATTGCATCTTTATTCTCACCTAAGTTTGCAGTCACTTTTTCAAACTGGCTCAGAGTAGCTGTGGCGTTTTCAGTGAGAAAAGTCTCATCCTCCGAAGTGAGCTATCAAACCAGCCGCGAACAAAAATAGGGAATTGTTAATACAAGGTTTGGTCAGACAACTATAGCATGTTTAAAATGTTCCAGCTCTTTCTAAAGTTAGATTGAAGCCTGCTGCTGCGACGTGACTAAAATAAGTCTGTGCAGCTTTAAGAGCTCATGTGGATTTATGAGCACAAGCCTCTGAATCATCCACGAACCGACGGAAAAAAACATCACATCTCTGCTGTGAGCGTTCCTCACCTTCTCTCCAAGTTTTCTCAAGGCCGTGAGGATTTCCATTTTCTGCTGTGTGTACACGTCCCGCGACAGTTTCCCCACGATGACATCTCGGTCCATCTGCACAGAATGTCACACAATGGTTGGACAATTTTCAGGCCGAGCTTCAGACAGATACCGACACTGTGGAGCGATTTAACACATACTAAACAACTGTGCATCAAACAATCACAATCATATCCTTGACTCTGCAGTACAAACCTCTGCCAGCCTGGTTCTCAGCTGTCCTGGCTGTTTCTTCGCAAAAAGTCGGATCACCTCTGGAGTTTTGAACGCTTGGCTGATGGCAGCCTGGATCGCCTGATGAAAACACACATACATTGGAAAAAAGATTTACATTTCACCAATCACTTTTTATACTGGATTGTTTTAAGTTACTTGTTCTAAAAGCTGCAACCTCTTTAGGTCACCCTCAATACACAATAGTCGCACAACATCCATTGATTATCCATACCAGTTGCATTCCACTGAGCTCATCCACAAGTGTCATGTCTCCTGTCATGATCTTCTTCAGGGAGTCATTGAATTCACTCAGCTGTTCCAGGGTTTCCTTTTTTGTCTCCTCATACTCGTCCTCATCCAGTTCTTCTCTGGAATAAACACAGAAAGGATCAGAAACAGTGACACAACAACATATACAGAAATGCTTTCTGACAGACTAGATCATTGCATTCCAGCTATAATAATCAGTGAAGAGCCTCTACACGTGTGTATTCAATGCATTTCTCTTTGGTGCACCTGCATTCTTCCAGATCCTGAAGCTGCTGCATCAGTCTGTCAAGTTGCTCTTCCATATTCTGCCTTAATTTTCCAGTTTCTGATTTCCCGCGCGAAGCCATCCTTAGTTAAAACCGTATTTCCAACCTGTAGAGAAGAAACCGAACAGATCCGAGGAAGATATGAGTCTAACTGAGCATTACTGGCACAGCACACCACAAACAACTCAACGTCAACCTAGCATGCTATTTACACTGCATCACAGTGGCGTTGTTTGAGCCACTTAAACTCAAGCGACATAAACTCTTCAACATTTAGTGACACACCAACTACTGACGACCTGCGGATGGATATGTTCGCTGGAAGCTCCCACCGAGCTATCTAACGTAAACTGTGAAAGAAAGTTGTTCAGTTAGCCGAGTGGCTAGCGAGCATGCTAAAACAAAACAACTCACCGGGACTCTGTTTGAAAGCAGCTGTTGGATCAGTTAAATATTTACTCCAGCTTCACGAATGCACACTACAGTTAAACGAATTAACTTATTTATATTTGAGCGAATAATAACTTTGAAACGCGGTCTTAAAACAACTTAGTTCGTGTTTCTCGAGGCGTTTGTGATCGTGAACGTAGCTCTCGACTGTGGGTGCGGCTCTCTGCTTCCGGGTTGGTCCTGTCCAATCAGAGCTCTCGATCTTAATGTCGTCCACAACGTCCGTACAGGAAGCCGGAGGGGACACAATCCAGAGCAGCTGCGCGCCGCTGGTTCTCCTGGTAGTACAATGAATATTCACATGTTTCCACTGTTTAGAAACCGTCCTCCCTCTGTTGTCTAAGCTCAGTTTGAAGCTCATGTTTCTGTCTGCAACCTACACCGTCGACATGGCGGCAAACACGCGTTGCCTTGTTACAGACAGAGCTAACGATAGCGACGGGTTAAAGTTACAGAAAGTGCTAACGTTGAATGAAGCTAACACACCGTAACGTTATATTGTGTTTTATTCTTATTAACGTGTGTAGCTCCTACCACATAGTCATACACAGACCCCCTCCCACCCTAAAGGTCAGAGAGACAGAGGCATTGTGGCACATAAACTAACTCACAGTCTTTGTTTTTCCTCGCCGTGTTGCTGTTGCAGTGTAAACCCAGCCCCAGTATGAGGCATGGAGGGTCGGGATATAACCAGAGTGGTCCTGCTGGCCTGTGGGTCCTTCAACCCCGTCACCAACATGCACCTGAGGATGTTTGAACTAGCTCGAGATCATCTGGAAGACACAGGTGGAGTGAATTACACCTCTCTCTTCTCTTTAAAGTGGTTGCTTCTCTCTGTTTATGACTTTCACCTCACCTCTTGTTGTATCGAGAGGGTTTACTTTCTGTCTCCAGTCTGGAGTGGGATTTAGTTTGTGGTGCTCACAGCATTGAAAAAGTACTATTACTAATTCACCTCCACTGCAGAAAACCTGAGCTAGACCCTTTCTGTGGCTGGATATCAGTTGTGGCAGAAGTATTTGAGTTTAACTTAAGTAAATATAGCAATGCAATAATGTGAAATACTCCCATATATATGCATTACATTACGTCCTGCATTCATCAACTAGTTATTAGCAGCAACATTGCGAAAGGAAAAGCACTCATTATGTGGCAGAATGTCAGTCATATCATGATATATATTACATTATCAGATTATTATTACTGATGCATAAATGTGTAATAATTTCTGTTACTGAAGCTAATGAGCTAATTTTAACTACTTAATGTAGTGTTGGGTAGTTTAAACTTTAACAATGCATCGTGTTTTACAAACTGATCTTATGCTTTTAAGGTAAAATCTTAGTCCATAAAGCTGCCAAACAAAATGTAGAGGAGTAAAAAGGGCACAATGTCCCTCTGAAACATGGTTGAATAGTAGGATAAATTAGAAATTAGGAATTAGGTACCTTAAAATAGAGCACTTTTAGTTATATTTCACCACTGCTGGATCCCACTAGAGGTGAGAAAATCTGTTAAATCGTGACTTGAATGTTTAAAAAATTATTCTTTTAATTCATAATTTTCTTAAAATCTATTTGTGGAGGCCAGGGGGTCTTAAAAACAAATTCCTCATTTCATTTCAATTGTAGGCCTTAAAATATCTTAAATGTGATCTAGAAAGGTCTTAAAAATGTGATTGATTGGATTAATCATGTTAATGTTACTTGCATTTTCAGTCAGTAAATTTTGTATTGATCATGCGGTAACAACTACAAAGCGAAACTAAAACAGAAACGATTTTATTTTTTTTCTGCCAGTATGGACGTGAAATAAGTCTTAAATTGCTTCATAATGGTCTTAAAACATTTTAAATTTAACCTGTTAAAACCTGCAGAACCCCTTGTATATTATCTGTTCACACCCCTTCTTTAATGTCCAAGGTCAGTACAGAGTGGTGAAAGGCATCATCTCTCCGGTGGGTGATGGCTACAAGAAGAAGGGATTGATTGAGGCCTGCCACCGACTGGAGATGGCCAGATTGGCCACAGAGAGCTCAGACTGGATCACAGTAGATTCCTGGGAGAGCTTGCAGCCGGATTGGGTGGAGACAGCTAAAGTTATTCGGTAAGTTGACAGTTCGTATGCCTTGTTAGTGGCAGTGCATGTGCTTGCTACAGGCAAGGCTAGTAGGGTGTTGAGTTGTTACGATAGATGTAAGGAAACCTCGCAAAGGATCTGAGACACGACCCGTCAGGCCGTTCAGAAGCGCTAATCAGAGTTTCCTTGCTTGCTTTTTGCTGTTTTCCGTTTTCCTCTGATTCCTCATCATCAATGACTACAACTCAGGCCACCCATTCATCAAATCTGACATAACCACAGCAGGTAGTAGTGACTGTTAAACTAATGATTTACAGCCCCTCTAGCAGTTTAAGATTCCATGTGATGAATGGTTGTGTTCAGTTGGTACAAATGTTAACAAATGATAGTGTCTCGGTCATGTTAGCTGAATTCACTAGACATTATAGTAACTCTTTTATCATAATACATACCGTGCATTAAAGCCCTTTTAGTTATACGTAGGATCATGAAGTTCTTATTTTTCAGTGCCACACAGTCTCCCTTCAGTCCATAAACTGTATGTATCACTCTCTAAGGCTAACTCTAAATCCATATCACACATGGATTTTCAGTTAAAGACTTGATATGTGACATTATTGCTCTTTACGGCAATAAATTACATTACATTATAACTCTTGCAGAAATATACTTCTTTACTATTTTCACTGGATAATTTCTGAATTGTATCTGTATTGTTAGACGTTTTCTTAAACAGCCTTTTCTTTTAAATATTTATCACTAAAAACAATACCTGAGCTGAAGAAACGTTGACACCGTTGTCCGTTTTCTACCACAATGTGGCAACATGGTTGCATATTCTAAAACAAGGAACTATATTGTAAAAGGATTAGATTAGACCAGTGGTCACCGATACGGTGAAGTGGGCACCAGGTCACCCCCAAGGACCACACGAGTCGCCTGTAGGCCTGTTCTAAAAATGAAAATTGAATATTGATATTATCTGTTTCCCACCTTGTTAAGTCATTGTTGATAATTATTGTGAGAAATCATTAACGTAATCATTAATAATAATATATAAC